ATGTAAATAGGGAGGGGGAGAAGAGAGGAGAGAGGAGACATTTTCCTACTGAGTAAATGTTCAATGGACTGTGAATGCCTCCACTGTGAGGTCACATACACAGAAAGGAGCAGCAGGGATCTGGGCCCTCACACGGAGTGATGCTGCTCCCCACATTCCCATTCCCTGCCACTCAAGGACTGGGATCTTTGTCCTTGTGCGGCATTTTGGGCTTGAGAAAGGTAGCACCAGAACCTGCCCCGGCTCCTACCTGCCCCCCAATCTGTGCATGCCGTGCTTTCATCATTCCCCAAGTGTGAAACTGCACAGCAGTTAAAGACAGAGGCAATAGCTATGCCTTCCTTCTTCCTATTTACTCAGGCATCAGTGAAAGGGAACTGATACGCCCCGGACCCTGGCAGCAAGGCCAGGGCGTGTTCATCTTCGGCCCCCACTGTGGGGACTATCCAGATCGCCCTTCCTCATACTATACAGCTAGTTCACCTGCTGGCCATGTAAACAGCAGATCCAGCAGAGACTGACTGGACTTGGACCATCGCCAAGGGAGAGGTGAAAGCCCCAGCGCCCTCCAGGACTGGGGTGCCAGCCCCACTCCCGCGTAGTCGGAGAGGTTACATCCCATTGCGCAAGGGATGCTTCAGATTCCCTCTCCAGCATGTAGACAGAATGCTAAGGACAGTATTGTCTAAACAAGCTTAGAGTTATGCCCTGAAGCTTTTGCTGATGAGCCAGTGGGAGCCAAGCTTAATTGGACCAGGCAAATTCAAATCAGGGAGGCTTCCAGTAGAAGCGGCATTAATTTTTGTGCACTATTTTGCATTTAAGGGGAAACCATTCAAGGAAGCTGTTACTTCTGATAGTGACTGGTTGCCTTTTGCAGAAACATTCTATCACCTGTATCTTAAAAAGATATTGGTTATTTTGATAATATTCTGTTTATGTAAAACCAATCAATCGGTTAAAAAGTGGGAATATTAGTCAACCGTAAGTCTTTTATTTTTATTTATTTAATTTTTAATTATATTTTAATACCTTCTTGGGAGCACCTACCCCTCACGGCCCCCGACAACAGGAGCACCAACAAATAATATGTTACAATTTCAGAGTAATGTAAGAGTAAAATAACTACAGAAAAGTATTAAAACAGCACAGCACGATACTATTTCCCAAATATGGACAAGAGCAAGATCTTCAAGACTTTTCCGAAGCTCAACAAATAAGAAGTGATATGCATTTCCTAGGGGAGAATATTCTGGAAGGTGGCGCCCTCAAAAAAAAGGCACTTCAAACTCAGCCCAGGGTAAACTGGGAGAGAACGGATGTCATTGATCCGAATGCCTGGTTCCCACAAGCATTTCCACACTTTGTCTCAAAATTTCTGGACTGTTTCATAGGGCAGGGCCAGAGCAAATTAGAGTGAGCTAGCCTGACCCTCACAGCACCACCTGGATCTCAAAGGCTCAGTGAAATTGTATTTTCTGGGGCTTGAAACACAGGGTTCCTTGAGGCAGAAAGCCGAGCGGGATTTTCCTTCCTGTGGTTGGCAGCAGGGATGGGGATCATGTGACTCTCCAGAGATCACTGGACAACAACTCACATCATCCCAGCATAGTTCCTGCACAGAGACGGTGGGAGTAGCAGTACAAGAACATCTGCTGAAGAAGGGAGGGGCCCAGTGGGCCAGGGAGAGATCGCCACTGGCGGCTTGTTTGGTGGAATGGTTAACAGCACGGGGCTGGTTGATCTGGGTTCTAGTCCCTGCTTGGCCACGGAGCCAACTGGGTGAATGTGGACGAGCCTCAACCCAACCTACCTCACAGGGCTGTTTTTGTGGTGATAGGATTGAGAGCAGCAAGAGCAGAATGATGTGAGCCACTTTGAGTTCATTGTAAGAAAAAAGCTGGCTATAAATCTAATAAATAAATAAATGAATACATTTCATGAGAGTGGCTTTTGCCCTTTAGGACAGATGCCCTCCTGTTGCTATACTAGTAACTAGGATGGATCCAAATGTAAAGAGCTGCATTTGCTGTTGTAGCATTTCATTTGACCTCTACATCCAGCTGATTGTGAATTATTTTTGTGGAAGCAGCTTGGAAGCTGGGACACCCAGGAGCAGGTGCCTGGGCAGCCCGCCAGGGGTGATGCTTTCATACATTCTGGGGCCCAAAGAGTTGGGCTTGGTAAGCTCAATGGAGGTGCTCGCTTACTACTTCAGCCCTCATGATAGAAGTGCATGTGCATGCATCGCTCTCTCTCTCTCTCTCTCTCTCTCTCTCTCTCTCTCTCTCTCTCTCTCTGTGTGTGTGTGTGTGTGTGTGTGTGTGTGTGTGTGTGTGTGTACAGCAGCGCGCATTAACATGTCACACTACAACAGTACTGACACAATAATGAGAAACGAGTCTAGGCAAGTGCTTGGCTAGAGAGATGTAAAAGTGAACACCTTCCAAATTCAGGAGAGCACTGCAGGGATGTTAAATGTTTGTGCTGGGTCTCGCTTTAATCTTGATACACCAAAAAGAAGCAATTAAGGGAGAATTAAGATCAACATGGGAGTTGTTGTGCTGTGCCCCACTGCTGGCTGCTAAGAAAGAAGTTAGGAAGATGCGTTGCTTGCTAAGTGCCGCCAGCGATTCTTGCACAAAGCGTGCAAGCTGAAATAGGAAAGCAACAATTCCTGCAGGCAGCAACCCTGAACCAAAAGAGCTCTCTGGTACTGCTAAAGATTATTTATTTATTTTTATTTATTTATTTATTAAAACATTTTTATGCCGCCCCATTCGCCGAAGCAGCTGGATGAATGGGGCCTGCAACTTTGATGGAAGCATCAGCCAAGGGGCAAAGATCTTCAGCTGTCAAGATTGCCTGGATGACCAGACCCTTTAATCCTCGTGCTACAAGTGAGAGGTGAAAGGGTGTTATGTTTGATAGACTGTGAAGCGCATTGGTTACAGTGTTGGATTGGGACTCAAGAGATGTGGGTTCGAATCCCCACTTGGCCAAGAGGTTCAGTGAGTGAGCTTGGCTCTCAACCTAACTTAGTTTATTCTGCAGGTAAGATGAGAGGAGGAGAAGGATGATGTAAGCCATCTTGCGTTCCTTCCGGGATCAAGATGGAATATAAATATAATAAATAAACTGCTATTTAGTTGCCCTTGTGCTGTCCGAGCGACAGATGGGATAAAAGGAAATGTTACCAGCTCTGATTCTGTCCAGATCAGAAGGTCTTTATCCCGTGTAAGGGCTGGAGCATTGGACTGGGACTTGGGGAATTTGGGGTCAGATCCTCACTTAGCCATGAAGCTGACTGGGTGACTTTCCCTCACTCCCAGCCCAACCTATCTCATGCGAGTCTTGTGAGAATAAAATGGAGAGCAGAATCATGCATGGTGATAAGAGCTCCTTGGGGCAAAGCCGGGATATAAGTGCAATAAACAAACACATAAATAAATACATATATCCTTAACTCTGCAAATATCACCTAGTGGCATACCTTTCGATTGGGAATAGATTTCTGGGAACATGTTAAGATTTGCATTAGATCTTACCCACAAAATCCCATTCAATTCTATCCAGGTGGAGTTTTAGCCTTTAAATCCCCAAAGGACTTAAATCCTACATACATTGCGACTGTTTCTTCAATTACATCCTGCCGCTTTTTCTCAGATCTACCAAATACAGCATAAAGGTTAACTGATCTATATACTAAATTTGGACAGCAATGGCATATCCGGAGACTTTTGTGGCGTCGGCTCCTCAGTTCTGTAACCAGAAAGCTGTAACCTCCTTTCCTTGGAAATTCAACAAAGGGGTAGCCTGAACTTCATTTCAAAACATCTGCAAATGTGTTTCTATTTGAATTTAATTTTGATGACCAAGGTTAAACCAAGGGATGGATGGATCTGTCAGTTTTAGTTCCTTCCAGATTCTCATTTTCCCAGTTGAAATCTGGTTCATCCCAGGTTTTCCTAAAAAAAAACTTTTTAGGAAAATTCACAGTTTTGTACACATTTTTCATAGCATGTACATTTTTGCCCAATACACACATTTTTGTAAGCAAATTTTCTAATAATATGCATTTTTGTGGGAACATTTCTCTAGCAGGTATCTTTTCGTACCCATTTTTTACTCGGGAACTCCGTTGTTAAATTTGGAGATGTGTGAATTTTGAGGGATAAATGAGTTTTGCTTTGTATATTAGTTCCAAAGTTTTGCTTTGTATATTAGCTTGTATATTCATTCAAAAGTCCAAAATTATTTCTTCCAAATAATTTTCTTCCAAATCCCTTCTTTTAACTGGAGATGAGGTACTGGTAGATGAATCCAAGCGAGGAAGTGAATGAACTGTCCGCAAACTGTCCATCACTTGAAGACTAAAAATGGTGGCATGTGCGCAACGGCCATCAGAGATAACACTCCCTATTTAAAGGTGCCACACTTAAAACACAATGCTTCCATGGGCTTTGCTCACACATTCAGCAGCAAGCCACCAAGTGCTGAGCAATCCATTGACGAGAAACAGAGTAACGTGCCTGCAGGTATGAACAGCTCCTGAGATATCCCAGACCTTTCCGATTGTCACACTGTGCTATCACCTCTGTTATACTCATGCTGGTCCTGTACTCTTCCATTGACACCGATTCAAAGGGCTGGTCTTCACTTTGAAAGCCCCGGCCAGGCCTGGCTGAAGTACCCACACAGCTGCTTGCCCCTTATGACTCAGCCCTCTGTCGTGCCCTTTGATGGGAATGTCAGGTGATGAGTAAGCAGACCGGGCCACCCTTGCCCATAAGCGCATCCAGGCTATGGGATGTCCATACTTGGGAGGTGCATTTAGCTCTCCGCCTTTCTGTTCAGCTGGAGGAGGCTATGTATGGTTCTGAATGGGAATATGAGCCACGGATAGGCCTGGGCCTTTCTACAAATCCAAGTGAAAACTCCGTATACTAAAAACAGAATTTCTCCTTTTTCATAAAGAGGAAAAAAAATGTCCAACAGACCTCAGATCAGTGCGCCTGGGAAAAAGCTTCTTCTTGCCACTGAAATAGACGTCAAATTCATCCACCTTCAACCTGTGGGCATAGTCGATATATGCAGATACCTCCTGGCCACGGGCATTTCTGTCCCGAATGAAGATTATAGACTAAAAAAATAAAAAAGGAGAGAGAGAGAGAGAGAGAGAGAAGATTAAAACAAGGTGTCCAAATGATCAAGTTCACACTAGCACTGCATGTGTTTCATAAGCCAGTTCTGCAACCTGATGGATTCAGGTTGGCTTTCATAGCAAGTAAACACAGCCAGCCAGGAGATCTGCTCTGGAGGCCCCTTGTAGCCCTGAATCCAGGGCTACAGGAGCCCAGAAGTAGCCCTGAACATGCTCATAAGGCCTTCTGTCATGTATACTAATCTTGAAAGCATGCATGTGCCTGTTCTGCAAGCACGTTGGAGGACGTGCAGAACATGGAAGGCCATATATGTCCTGTGTATAACCACACACTCTGCCTCAAGAAGAGGAAAAATTGAGTGGTGACAAAGGAATTTATACTGCTAGCAGGAAAAAATCTCCTCTAAATGGCAAGAACTGTAACACACAATGCATCACAGCTGTAAAGAGATAAAAGACCGAAAACTTGTCATAAATATGTGAAGCATTGCTCAATTACATCTCTTATTTTTTTTAAAGCAGAACTAACAGATTACAAATAAACCCCTTCAATTATGTGGAATGCTCCAATGTTTTAAAAGTTGGCAAAGTATGCTAAGTGTTATGTTCAGTGTACAAGATAAAGGGTATCTTTCAACTCTCATCTGATTATAATATTAATTTCCTAACATAGGTGTTTTCACACAGACCCACCATTTGAAAGACAATATATTTACACAGCTCTACAGGGAAGTAGCCTATATGTCTACCAGTGTCTCTATATATTAAAAAATAAAACTTCAAACACCCAATCAAAAATATCTGAAACAAAATCTTGTGATAAAGGTACAAAGACTCCGTTTTGGCTTTTGATCCTGCATCACCTGCCGGCATCCATCTGCTATGTCCTCCCGCCAGCCCCTGCTCCAAACATTCACTTAGAAGCACTTATAAAGCTTTCATTCATAAACCCTACAAGTGCATTGGATGGATTTTCTTAAGATCTTCTATCACTTTTCAGTTTTACCACACCTTTCTGCCTCAGAGAAGATAGGTTTATAGGCAGCCTCTTCAACATTTTTGCTCTTCATATGAGCAACAGTAGATAATGTGTTTCATGCTAACCAGCAAACCGCTGATGTGAATTTCACAGGATGTGGCTCACGGGGGTGGCCGCAAGGCCATCTGGAGGTGACGGGGTGCGGAATGGGTCTGGCCTGCTGGGCCCACCTGGCTTGGGCAAAGGACAAGCCACCTGCCCAAAGCATCCTTGCCTTGCCAAGGCAGAAGCGGATGCTCAGCCTCAGCACACTCAAACAGCTCCGTCCTCCAGTGAGGGGGGTAAAAGAGGGAGGTCAGTGAGTATTGTGACTGGCGGGATGAGCGTGTGGGTGGAGCTTGGGAGTGCACGAGGACAGGGGGGAAAGGAAGAAAAAAGAGAGATCCGGCAGTCAACAGTCAGTCGTGGTCAGTTAGCTGTTGTGGCCAGTCAGCGGTCTAAGCAGCCTTCTCATTCGAATCCCAGATAGTGTCACGGAGAGCATTTGAGCAAGGAAAACGGAAGCAGGATATCAGAGGACGTATTGGCCACAAGGCAGAGTCAAAACTTAATACTGTCAAGTATCATGGGGGTGCGAGAGAGAGGAGCTGACAGAAACCTGAGTGCAGAAGGGAAAGATTGAACTAAGAGGAATAAAATAAGGACTGGATAAAGTACATTCGGAAGAGAAAGGGGATTTGGGAGTGTGCAGGTTGTGTGACGGGGAAGAGTGTGATACCTCTGTCAGAAGTTACTAATGTGCACTATTTTATTCACCATGGAAGAAAGTTACAGAACATCCTGAAGCTAATGCGCTCCTTGTACAAATAAAATGTTGTCTTGTTTATCGTTAACCCAGAGCTGTTTGAATATCAGTGTCTCATCCTCAGGACCACATAGTCCAATGAAGGAGCCTTATAGCTTGGGCACAATCCTGTGCAAGAAGTCCATTAGTAAGCCTGGAATCACATTCCTGGTGGCAGCGTTACCCACTGAGGGCAAGAGAGGGAAATTTCCAGAAAGTTAAATATCCAAGCAAATCACAAGAGAGTAATTATATCAAGCTAGCATGTCAAGTCACCTTTGGCAAGCGGGGAAGGTGTAGAAGGCCTGCCGCTGATGGGTGGGAGTGGAGCGGGGGCTGGACCTTACAGACCCCTTCCAACTCTACAACTATCCTAACTCCTCTGAAGCTCAGTTTGCAGCACCAAGAGATGCCTCTTTTTTCCACAGAAATCCTAGCCAGCAGTAAGCAATCATGATCAATAAAAATGTAAGTGAGAAGCATAGGGCCCGATCTGGGATGCTAAACTGTTCAAGGATTCATGGTAAGCATGTAAGCATGGTATAAGTGTGGCTGGAATGAATGCGGATTTCTGCCACAAAGCCAAAGAGATGATATTGCAGATTTCTTCAGGAGTGGATTCTAAGAATTAGGGTTAGGAGTTCTAAGGCTTTGCAAAATCAGATTAAACTTCTGTGTCGACATCTACATCATTGTCATCACGGTTGCTGTCACCGCCGCCGCCGTCATCTTCTTTCGCTGCAGGTCAGGGCCTTTCCAGATTAGCAAGGCTGATACCACATGCTAGCTACTGCACAGCTATAAATCAAACTTCACCAAACTTTCTTATGCACACGGGGCCTATTCCTGATTGCACCGATTGGGAGAATGAACCAGGAGTGTTAAAGTGAGGACTGCTACCTTCTTGGATGCTATTGTGGTGCTGCCAATCCACCGGCACCCCAGCCAATGCAACCCCACCCTGTTGATGCGTCGGGACTTGTGAACAGGCATCGCGGTCCGCCTCAGTGGACTTTGCCACTGCCTGCAGTAACTGCACATGGAGATCGCTTTCCCACGGACCTGGGAGATCATCTTCAGACCAAATATCAATTTCCCCTACTTTTTCTCAGGAGATCTGGCATGGCATATGCCTGCCTTCCTGTGATTTGCATGATAGTATTACCTGTTCCTTGCACAGGATCCAGGCCCTCCTGTTTGCATATTGCACACTGATTCCTTCCCAACTTCTGGAACTCCAGCCTTGGCTGGCGGCACTGACGCTCTTCTCCTGCCTTTCTCCACCCTTGACTTGCTGCCACCTTCACTGCCGCTGCCATCAGATTCACTTCCCTCTTTTCCTTCTCTGCTTCTCTTTGACTGCACACCTTTTGAGCTGTGGCCAAGACTGAGTCCTTGGGATGTTTCCTCCTACTTCTGTAACTTCCTCCTTGCCCGCTCAGCCACTTGGGCTTCCTCCACTTCACGTAACAGATCTTTGGCCAGGACTTTAATATCTCTCCAATCTGGACTGTGACTAAGTATGATTCTCTCAATGGGAGAGAACATACATTTTGGGTCATCTGTTTAGGATCCCCCAAGACTTGAAAGTGGCCAGTTCAATAGGACTGAAAGGCTGATGATTCCAAACCACAGCCATCTGACGGGAATTCAGCTGCCCATCCACACCCTCCTGCACATAGCCACCTTTTCGGCAAGCAAAGGATAGAATCCCTTTGCCAAAGCAGCTGCCACCACACCCAGACATGATGGTGAGATCCCCGGAGTCATGCCCACATCACTGGCTCTTGGAAGGGAGAGAGCAAAATCTGTTCCCTCCTTCCTTTGCGCAACAGGGTCCAAGCCTATATTGATGCTGATGGACTCAGCCTTGCATTGGTCCCATCCCCTTCCCATGGGAGGGTGAGTCAAGGGCTAGCTGGTGGAAGTCCTGTAGGGACCAGTCCGCACCTTCCTAGCAAATCTGGATTGTCGTCCCTTAATGTGACAAACACCTGTGCAGAGCCGTGCTCGAGTCATTTCCCAGTTTGTTGGAAAAAGAGTTGCAGTTGCAAGAGTGTCTGGAAATCTGTAGTTCCTCTGGTGGCCACTGAGCCCCAGAATCTAGTTGTTTTAGGAGCCAGACAAAACTACAGTAGTTCTTCAACTTCATTTTACAAAAAGAGTCCCCTCTAAACTGATCCCAGTTATCTAAAATACACTCCAGAGGAGGGCAAGTCAACTCACCCTGTCCCATGGTGCACGGAGTTCCCCGGAAGACCTTCCCTTGCCAGGCGGTCCTGGACCCTGTCTCTTGTGTGTGGGTGTGGGTTTCCCTGTTGCCAAAAGAGAATGCCGGTCCTTGACCATGGCTCCCCCTTGCCCCCTCTCACAGAAGGGATGAGAGAACATTGGGATGGAGAACTTCGGCCCTGTGTTCCACAGCTTTCTCCAGGAAATGCTGGTCCCCTGACCGTGGCCTTCCACTGGGGGAACACCGGCCCCACAAGCTGTAGCTTTCCCCTTCTCCATCAAACCGAACCCACATGTGGGCGAGCTCATCAGTCTTGGTTTTAAACTGTGAGTCTTTCCCAGTTGCTATTCACAGACAGGGTCGATGCTCAGCCAATTGCCTCGGCCCAGCAGGGCCGAGGGAGTGCTCTGTGGACCGGCCGTTCACCTGTCCATGAACAGGGCCTTTGGGGGCAAAAACCTGAGAATTTTTCCAGGCAAAATTTGCCTTTCTCTGCCCAGTCATCCCTGTTCAGGTGCCAGAAACTGTTACCTGACAGAAGGATGGCCTGAGCGATCCCCAGACTCAAAAGCCAAGCCTGGAGACAAGACTGAGAGCAAAAAAGCTTTATTCGGGTGCACCAGAAGGAATAAAGTGAACACACAAGGTCTTTGCCCATATCAGTGTCTCCCTAGTTGAGCCTCCAAGCAAGCATTTTATACCCTATGCAACTGAATGATCTAGCCTGCCCCCTCTGAGCACCCTGAAAAGGCGGCTTTCGTCCCTTATCTCCCCAGCAGTTACTCCTACAATCAGCAAATGCCTACAATCAACAAGTCCCTGCAATTAAGAAGGCAAGCTGTTATTTTTACAACACCTTCAACAAAACAAGTTGTTACTTTTACAGGAGCCATAGCTGGTTCCCACTGATCCTTTAAACATCC